AATAAGGCCACTTTGCATAGCTCAAACTGTAGGAGTTTCTGCAAACTTTTCTGGCCGGAAGTATTATCGCACAGACCAGACAATTAAACAGAAGAGACGAGCAACAGCCTCGAAACAGCAAATGCTTTTTCCGATGCCATTCGACACCAAAATTTCTGTCAACATACGAAGAGAAGGTGGGTTTCGAGGAATCCCCGAGTTTTCATCCATAATGTGACGGATATAGTCAGAGCGAACAATCACTTATAATAATTAATGAATAAGGCACGTACTACTGCTAGTAGCATGGCATTATATTAGAAAATAAATAGTTAATTTTAAATGACTGGGATATTCGAGAATGGCCCGGTGAAATTAATGACGCTTTCACGTCATTTCTTCTTTTAAGAATTAAGTCGAATCTCAGCCGGAAATATTTCTTGGTTTGGTTAGTTTTTTGGTGATTTTTGTGAATACTCGTTTCCTGCTCTGATGATGTCCGTCGCATGATGGATGAAATGTCGGCACCGAGTAATCGGATTCGTAGGAGGATGAGCCGAGGTATACTTTGCACAATTCAACAGACAAAAGTCTAAGGCAGCCCTCCTTCGATACCCGATGGAACCCATTTACGAATGCCCGTCTCTCATTCTCTCTCTATTTATGTGTCTATCTATCTATAAGATTATATATCTGTCCAAATTTGTCTCTTGTTCCCCCCTCCTCTTTTAATAATCTCTCTCTCTCTATCTCTCTTACTCACACTCTTTCTCTCTGATGACTCTTTAGGCGAATGGTGGTTGTGGATGAACTTACAATGCTGCGTTCGATGGTCGTCCGGAAACGAGCTATCCTCGTGTGTTCGTTCTTCCCCATGCTCGGCACCGGGATGAGCAGCACATGGCCCGGGACGCCGGGCATCCCCGGGCTTCCTGGAATTCCGATGCGGCCGTCGCGACCCTGACAAGAGAATGCGAATAAAGCAGACAAGGGCAGTAAGCAAACTAGAAAAGAATGGCAACTTGCTCCTGTTGTCACGGCGACTATGCAGAACGCACCAAGTCCGAAGTCGTCTGCCTGGAGTAGTTGTCATGATTACCAGCATCTGACAGTCGACTTGAGACATGTCGAGGGATTGACTTCACTTGTCTCTTTGACGAGTTCGTAACTTGGTTCGGAGAATGGCAGCAATCACTGATTGTGCCAGTGATCATGACAACTGAAATGGCAGACGACTTCGGACTAGATGCGTTCTACATAGTCGCCCTGACAACAAGACCAAGTTGCGACAACGAGGTCAACCCACTTCTGTCAGTTCTTCTGCCCATCTTGTCCAGTCATTTGCTCGAGCACACAATCTTCCGTACATCCTTTAATGTAATAGACACAAAAAGTGAATGAGTCTTCCCAACAATTGCATTCTCCTATTCAACCATCCCTATAACAGCCGCTGGACGACAACATAAAGTTATCCAACCTTCCAATTATTCATTCAAGCATCAATCAGGAAATTTTAACAACGCATCCGCATCTGTATCTGCTGTCTGCGGCCTGGTCGTGTGATTGTGAAAAAGCGACCTGTGGGGAGGAAAGCTGTTAAGCATACGAAGAGTGACTGGGCTTCGATGAATCTCCGGAGATAGCATTGGCGTAAAAGTGCATGAAGCAGAGATTCGTGCGTCGAGCTCACCAGAAGACGACGGTTGCTTCGCGTTGTAGTGCAGCCGTTTGGCTTGAAAACGACGTTGAAAGTGACGCAGTTCAACGAGACATCGTCGCTTGGTTCGAGTGAAAATGGGCTCAGCTTTGCTCCATAAAATGCTGGAATACATTCTTGTCAACAGTTTCAGCAATGAGGACGTCCATTGTGCGATGGTTCAAAAGGTCGTTCTAAAGCCAAATGGCTGCTGTATCAAACTATGAACCTCTTCTTCGTGCACTTTTATACCAAATAAGCGTGTCCCTGACAATTTTATTTTCTAATCTCGAAAATATGCCACTATAAACTCGAGACCGGCTTGGCGCATTCGACTCTGCCCTGGACAACTGTCGCCAGGACAACAAGATGGACAGCCTCCCTCTGGGCTGACGATGTTGCCGACG